CCCCAAAACCCCAAAACCCCAAAACCCCAAAACCCCAAAACCCCTAAGTTTGATTATAATATTGAAAATGGAACCTGAAGTAGAGCCTTCTGAAGATACTAATTACAAGCATTATATTGAGGATGAAATTTTGAGGATTAAGACTGAGAACCCAAACATGTACCTCAACAGGGAGGACTTATTGGAGCTCATGAAGATCCCTTGCAGCAGTGAAGGTCTGATCATAGTTAGATGTAATAAGCAAGGAACTGGGTTCAAAAGAGATACTTACATAGAAAAATACTGCAGTAAGTATATAACTGAGGGCGAATTCAAGAAAGTTATAGACAAGTGCTCTTACTTAATGAAAAAGTTATATAGTCAGAAATAGATCTGCGGATGCTATGAAAACACCTTTGTATTTGTTCTTAATCTACCTTCTCTCTGCTTGCCTCCTTGGAGCATACTTTTTCTTTGCCTGGATAGCCCCAGATAACAAGGGAAATATCACACTGGATATTATTCAGTACAGCTGCTTGGCATGAGCTATTACGCTCATGACAGTCAGCACTATTATGAATTACATGATTGGTGGCTATATTTTTAAATCATATGAAGAGCTAGTGAAAAGAACCTTGGACAAGTACCTTGATAAACTTAATAAAGATAAATTCCACGACAGAGGCCTTGAATGGTACGTAACTCCTAACCATTTCTGGATGGAACTTAGAGTCCTATCAGGTAGAGACAATAGGAGAGCGAGTCATCCAGCCAATGATTTTATGAGCCCACAATCTTCTGTCATTGATGAAGTTGTTGATTTCAATGATGGCAAGGAAAACAATAAGCGTCCAGTACCTATGTTCGAAGAGAAAAAGGAGGAAGCTGCTATTGAATATCAGAAATTAGATACAAAGAATAAGAAAGAAATGTCTAAAAAGTCAACAAACGCCCTCAAATCACCACCTGATACCAAGAATGAGTCAAACGATGAAAATGAGGTAACTCCTACTGTTCCAACCCTAAACTTCCCATAACTTCCTTCATTCCTTACCCTAACTATAGTCAAGCAGGAACCAAAGGTAGGTTTCCCAAATCTCCACTCCCCATCCCACCATGCCCAATATAGAAAGGAAGAGCCGCTGGAGCTGGAAGATTTAGAAGGCATCGAGGATCTTGAGGATCAAAATGCCTTCCAGAGCAGTACTCCAAAGTAACCCTCTCCTCACCTTTCTAGGGATGGCCTAAGACGAAGGAAGCCTAAGAACACTAGAACCAACAGCGATAACGAAACTGTAAGGCTGCCTGGAAATCTGTTCAGTAAAGGGACTGATAATGAAGAGCTACAGCCAGAAGGAAAAATTGAACAAGTTGAACTTGAGAAGAAAGTTTTTAGCACATAAGGTGGCGCAGTGAGGTTTAAAGTGGCTCTATTCGAGGAAATTTTGGGGTTTTGGGGTTTTGGGGTTTTGGGGTTTTGGGG